AATATTTACTTATATCCCTCGCTTGCCTGCTGTCTCTTCCCATCCTCCACATTTACCCCGATTGCAACTCTTACTCAAGCATTCCAGTTGCTCAGCCAAAACCTCAGCTCGCATAGCTAAATTACAACTTTACGCTTTAGATCTTTCTTGAAATTTCATTTTAATGCATTAATTACACATTAGCATTAGCCGCATATATGTACATATATGTATATATTGTTTTTTTGCTGCTTTGCTCTGCCTGTGTTGAATGCATTTAAACATGCGATTGCATTTTCCACTCCTCTCGGTTTCAGCTACCGCAAAGCTGAAGCTGGCTGACTCTGTGTCAATTGCTGCTGCTCCATTGTTTGCCGAAATGAAATGAAAACTTTTGTGTGTTCGTATTTCTTCAGGTGGAATTCATAATTTATGGGTTAGCAGTGCGCAAGGTAAAAGTCGAAATCTGACGACACGAAACAGAATTCTTTTCGATTTCGTATTTCTCTTACTATATATTTGCCAGAGCGCAGCAATTAAGTCATTTTCAGATCATATCGACGGGCCTCAGCCTGAAACTCCTCCAGCTGCTGCTGCTGCTGCTGCTGCTGCCGTTCGACTCATTCAGCCGTGGGTCAGCTTGTCGTCGGAATTCTCCCGTGCCTGGCCGTTGGTCACGCAAGCTTTGTCGCTTTTCCGCGAAGCGCTCGTAAGCGCTGTCCCTCGACATGCAAATTCGTGTTTTTTTGTGGATGTCTTGGGTTTATGGCCTGGCCGTGGAAATGCACCGCACAAGTCAAAGCAGTCAGCAGAGTAGTCAAAGTAGTCAAAGCTTATGCTCCAAAGTCAGTAAACTTTCGCATTTTTTCGCATTTCGTGACAGTTTTTAACAATTGCCTGAACGACGCGACTTTGTCAACGCTGGACAAGCGAACTGACCATTGTCAAACAGGTTAATAACCCGACTGTGGGATGGGCTGGGCTGGGCCAGAAGGCGTACTCTTTAGCGGTGTGTTAAACAAATTGACTGTTATGATTGGGGAGAATGCTTGAGATGCGAGGAACTGCAAGAGCTGGAATTTCACATGGAAAACTGCATCCATTCATGGGCATGTGAGATTGGAGTTGTGCTTGCAGTAAGAATTGTAGCTGTAATATGCATACTAGCTGTGTGTTTGATTCAGTGACCTGCTAGATAAATATAATACTTGTGTAGAATGGGAATGGTGTATAAGGAACAGCATTCCCTGCCTGCAATAGTTTTATGTGAGTACTGTATTCACATATTATTCTCTCTCTATTCTTATCAGTTTTTCCCCTTTGCTAGCCATTCTCTTGCCTTGATTATCGTATTTAAATGTTATCTTTATTTATATTTTTTTTTCCCCTGGCATTCTTGTGTTACGATTATTGTATTTTCTTTTTTTATATCAGTTTCTTGATTTATCTAGAATTTAAATGCTTTTTTTAGAATGCGCATTCTTAAACGTTGAAGCCGAGCATTCACATTTATGCACGTATCTGTAAAAATATATATCTCTCATTCTCTTCTCACTTCTTCCGCTCTCACTTTGCTTATCGCTGAGACATTTACCATTTCTGCCTTTTGTCTTTGATCCATCAAGTGCTCAAGTAGCCTCCTCCTCCTTAACTACAGCCTTTGGCAATCAGCTTTGCCTCTCTACTCTTGCATCACTTCTAGCCCGGCTGAGGCTTTGCATAATGCATTTGTCCAGTCTAGCCACACGCCTGACTTATATGTTTAAGTACATATTATCATATTTACAGCTAAAGTCTGATGTAATTGTGTGCCTTAGCACTGGGCACACATTTTGTGCGTCTATTTCACGGCTACGCCGACGCAGAAGTCAGAGCCCCGCTCGCTTTACAAATGACGATGCTAACCCACTTCACACTAGACTGCGGCCAGAGCGCAGGTTATGCCCAACAAGCGGCCAACTGACAGCCAGCTACCATTCCAGCAAGCAGCCGCAACGCCAGCCCCAACTCCTGCTACTCCTACTACAGCTGCAGCCTCTGTCTTCGTCTTGGTTTTTCCTCCACTTTCAGTTTTGTAGCTGGCAGAAAAAACACTTTTGCAAGCTTCGCTGAGTTTGTGCTTTTTTTCGCTTTGTTTTTGTTTTGTCTGTTGGGCTTAGTTATTTGCTGTTTCACTGTATAACCATTTCATGCCCATTCCCATTCCCATTTCCATTCCCTGTTGGCCTCTTGCAGCTTGTTGCGCCTGCCGTTTTCCACAGTTGCGAATAACACATTTTAATTTGTTTTTGCTGCGCATTTGAGTGCATCAGCTGAGCATGCAAGCCAGCCAAATATGAGTGCGAGGCTTTCGATTTCATTGAAGTGAAAATGGCCCAAAAGCCAGCAAAATGTATAGTAGAAATTTGCAAAAAGCAAATTTAAATAACTCCCCTAGCCAACCACCCCCGCTCTCTCCATAGAGGCCGCATCAGTTCTGCAATCAAACAACCTCCATTAGCCAACTACATAATTTGAATATCTTTTCAAATAACCTTTCACCTTTCTAAGTTGAGCTTATCAATTTTTTTTTTCAATTACCTCAATTGCTATCGTGCAATAATTTTGCATTATTTTTAATTTATTTTTTTTAATGAAAGTTTTGTATTTTTCGATAGCTTGCAGCTTGCCTATAAAATCAATCAATAAATATTGCTTAAATTTATTTTTTATTTAGCATATTTTAGAGATTGTGTGAGAGATTATATGTATGTATATACATATATTATAAAGTTTATTCATACATAAATATATGGATATATATAGACCTAAAATATTTTCATTTATAAATATAAAATAAATTTATGCATTCATTCAATCATTCATTCAAATGAAATAATATATGCATATATAAATAAACATATAAAAATATGATAGATTCATTTATAATATATGAAATTTATAGCGTAATCAGATTAAGTTTTTAAATATATTATATATTTTTATTTTAATTTGGCCCTCGAAATATAAATGAGAATGAGAATTTCAGAGAGATAGAGAGGGGCTAGACTTGATTACAATTTTTTGTTGTTTACGAATTTTCAGAAATATTTTAAAAAATATTTTTTAAATTATTGCATGAGCTTTTAAAATTACTTTTTTCACACTCTTAAGCTTATACAAAAACTATATATTTTTTCTCTCATATGCAAAGCTTTCTTTTTTATTGCAATTTCGATTATGTTTTCAACGTCGAGCACCACAAAAATGTCTTTAAATTATTGTTTTTGGCGCAAACTCAAAGTGCAAATCAATGGACTGGCTCTTGCAACTGATTGGACACCCACTAGCAGCAGCAGCAACAACAACAACAGCAACTTGCCATGTTAGGTAGTTGTAGAAAAACAAAAACAAATTATGCAACGGCTGCGCTGGCTTGCAACATCTTCGAGGCAGGCCAACCAACCCAAGCGACCGACCCAGCCAGATCTTTGAGGCCGCATTGCTTGAATCTTGTTTTGGAGCTCTCTCGCAGCAGCCAGCAGCAGCAGCAGCAGCAACAACAAACGCTTCTTCATTTTCACCCAGCAGCAACAACAAAAACGAAAGTGCAACCAGTTGCTGGATGCCACAGAGAAGCAGCAACAGCTACAGCAGTTGCAGCAGCATCGTCTGGGTCTGTGGGCTTGGTCGAACGCTTACGTGACCGGCGACGAGGATCATTTGACTTTTTGTCCATATTTGTGTTGAGTTATGGCGAGAAGATGCAGCAACAACTGCAACGGCAAAACCCGTTTTACGTGGCGTATGAGTAATGCGGAAGTTGACACTTGCTCGTGCTCGCTGGTGGGTAAAAATTTGCACTCTGATATATTTACTGCACTATTGCGGCACTAATTGCGGCAGCTCCCCTCCTCTCTCGATTAGACCCAGGCAAAAAGATGCCAAAACTCATTTGGTTTTTGGAGCCACAGCCTCCAATATTAATGATGCACTCGCAGCAAATTTGTTAAACTCCACGAAGCAGAAGATGGCAAACAAAAAATCAAGAGAGATGCAGAGTCGCAGGCGGAGGCAGAGAAAAAACGTCGCCTCGCCGTGCAACCTGTCAATAAGCAGCGATGAGTTATGTCGCAGACCCTTTTACTTTCTTTTCCCAGCGTCCACACTGCCCGCCAAAAGTAGAAGCATTAATGAGCTGCCCCGGCCACATGCCATGTGAAATTTTTCGCTCAACATTTATACGTATATATATATATATATAGATATTTTAATATAAATATATGGGCGTAACTAATACAGCTTGCAGATCAGAGTTCATAATAATGACTTAATAATTGAGGGAGACGAGCTATAAATGAGGAAATCATTGTTGGACTCGGCCTGAGAATGGCTGTGGGAGATTTATTGTGAAGTGCAGAGAGGGAGCAATAGAAAGGGAGAGTGAGAGAGAGAAAGAAGAAACATGGAGGATTAAGCGTAGTTTGTATTGCTTTCATTAAATTAGCTTCCACTTTTCTATATATGCATTGGTAAATTTCTTAGTTAAGAAGGCAATAACTGCCAAGCTATTTTAGAGTATTTTAATACTATTTATAATTTAGTAAAATTCTACGAAAGTCTAAAGATCTCATTAGAAATATATGTGTTTCTTTTATATGTATTTTATTCAACAAAAAAATATTCAAAGGATATAAAGCACAATAAAAAAAAATTTAGGGATCTTCATCCCGTACTTTTGTGCGATATGTGATTCTACAGCACAAAGAGAGGCTCCAAATTAATTATTAAACTAATTTCAATTTCAAATAATATTGAATTTCATATTGAATTTCGTATTGAATTGAAATATGAACCTTTTTGCTATATTTTACTCAGGAATCTGATAATTCTTTGATCCCCACCTCATTTTATGCTTCGCTCTTCAAAATTGTAAAAAAAAACTTTTAAAAATTCAGATGGAGGCTCTCATAACTTGATTTTCTATTAGTTTAATTTTTGGCATTTTCTTCAGATATTTTGTCTTTCTGCTCCAGCTGAGCTCTTTCACTGGACATTGTCCTTAACCTTTTGTGCAGCTGTTCCGTTGCCTTATTTGGCTTGCACAATTTTCCGATAGGAGATTTTGCTGCAGTTGCCAAGTTGCAAAGAAAAACGTGTCGGACCAGATTGCTGCCGTCTGTCTGTACCGCTGCCGCTGCATCTGCCGCTGCCTCGGTCTATTGACATAAGTTGGTTGTGGCAACAGCAACAGCAACAGCAACAGAAAACGGCAACGGCAACGGCCTGCGATTACAACAGGCAACAACCCATTGCAAAGTTTTTGGTAAACAAGAAAAATAAAATACGTATTTTTATTTTGTTTTGTTTTTTCTTTTAGCCACATCATCATCTTCCTTTTGTCCGCGAACAGGAACTGGTCACAGTTTAAAGACCGAGTCAAGTCGGCTGGCGGCTGGCGGCTGACGCTGAAGTTTCTTTTATACGTTGCTGTTGCCTCTTTGTTTTTGGTATTTCTTAATTTTGCGCCTGATATCAAAGTGTATGTTGCATATGTATATGTATGTATGTACGATGCTTTGCGTTTGCAGTTGCCTTTTTGTGTTGTGTAAACAGAAATTGCCAGCGACAAACAGACAAACAGACAGGCAACAACCAACAACTGTTCAGGCCTTACAGCAGCAGCAGCAACAACAATAACAACAACAGCAACAATCCAGGCAACATCTGTCGCCCATCATCTAAACCATGTCCAATGCTCTCCCAACGTCCAATTGGTTAGCCATGTTACGCTGGCTTTACTGTCGCCTCCCTGCCAAATAGTTGGCATAGCTTTGGAATTTTTTTTTTCTTTTTTGTATTTTTTGTTTTCAATTTCTCATCTTAATTTAAATTTTTGTTATACACATTTGTTGACTCTTCAATATTCAATATTTTGCTTTCACTTTCGATTGTGTGTGAGATGCGTGAATTAATTATGAAATCGCTGGGCAAATATGTGTGTCATAAGACGAATGTTTTGAGATGAGCTTAAAATTCTCAAGAGATATTTAGCTTAACGTATGACGTTGGCATTATGTGGAAAATATATAGTAAATCTATGCTAATGATGCTTCATTGTAAAACATTAGTTCAAGTAAAATTCATAAATTATATATTTTTATTTTCTGCAATCTTTATCTCTCACTCCTCGTGATATAAATTAAAGAAATATTGTACTTTTCTTTTCATTTCATCTAGTATGATAAAAAATTGACCTAAAATAAAAATATCGAGAAAATTTAAAGATTCTGATAAGACTTGGAATTATGTAGAAAATATTAGAAAATAAAAATTAATTTTTTAATTAATTTTTTTTTTTTAATAATTTCTAAATTTTTTCATATTTTGTGCTTTAAATTAAATAATTTGCGGCTTACATTTATTTTTTTATATTTTCATACAAAATTAACTTTTGCCAAAAATTAAAGAAATCTTGTTTTATTTGTTGTAAATTGCAAAAAAAAAGTAGTCTATAAATATCTAGGTCTATGTCAACTATACGCCATTAGCATTGTAATAGATGGCATTTTTAATTGGCTGCTGGCAACAATAACAGCAAGAGAATACGAAGAAGAAGAAGAAGAAATGATAATAATAATAAAAATAAGCAGCATCACCTATTTTGGTACATTGAGATCTGCTGCAGGCAGCGGCAACTGTCTTAAGATACTTTTGTGTATCTTTGTATCTGCGAGATGCGCGCTTGACAGGCCCTTCAACCTGTTTGCGATTTATTGTATGAATTTCAAGTTGTAATTTCTTTTGATATTGTTGTTTTTTTTTTTTTTTTTCATATATATACATTTTTTTGCGCGTGTATTGTTGTTGTTGTTGGGGAGTGTAGGTCCGTCATTCTAGCAGGTTTTGTTGCTGTTGTTGTTGTTGTTGTTGTTATGTGGAAAGTGGGTCAATCGAGAGATCTTTTATACAAATATATTTTGGTTGCATATTTATCGAAAACATAAATTTTTTGTAGCCGCGACAAAGACTTAATGGATTTGTGCGTTAAAAAATGAAAGTTGCTTGGCAACTAGAATTTTAGAGTAGTTCAAACTTGACATTTGCTGAGCTGTGTTGCCCACGCGCCCCATTGAACCAATTATATATACGTATATAGGCAAAGACAGCCCAATAGCCTCATCAGATTTGTTGGTTAAAGCTCGTTAAGTGGCGCCACACTGAATCAAATGGCGTCAAATCGACATCAATTGGCTTGCATTGTATCACAAATAAATCGAAGTAATTGAACGCTAATCACACGCAGAGCCAATTAGGCAGCCCTCGAGTTGGATTTTACTTTGAGCTCGCTTCACATTTAGTTTTTAGAGTGGCCCAGCTTGATTGAGTTGTTGCTGTGCCTGTCGCTGTTGCTGTTGTTGTTGTTGTTGCTGCTGCCATTGCTAGTTGAGAATTAAATCGAATTTCAATTTCAATTTCATTGGAAACGCTCGGGCGGCGCACGTGGAAAAGTGAACAAAATTGTGACTCTGATGAAGCGCTTGATTGGACAGCGGCAGTGCCAACAGTTAATGGAAATAAACCCAAAGTGTTGAGTCTCGAGTGCCGAGTGCCGAGTGTTGTTTGGGGCAGGAAGTGCTGCTTAGTCAAACAAATTGAAAATGTAATTGAGCATGCGATTCGCTATGATATAATCCACATTATGAAATCAGCTGGCAATTTGTGCCAAAGGATGCATAGTAGGGGAAATAGTAAACCTACTTGAAATTCAATAAAAATGCGACACTAGAATATTGTATAGATATTGATTGGGCTTACGTTCGATAATCTGGCTAAATTATGCTTGAAGAGCGCCGAAACTACTAGGTGCCTCTAGGGGGCTCTGCATTCAAATTCCCTAGACAACTCTTCCAACTGACTCGAGCTGAGTTAAGCTGAAATTCCATTTGTGTGCTGTGGCATCATAAAAATTGGTATTTAGCCTAAATATTATGAAAATACGTTTATGCAACGAAAGTGTTACGTTTCCCAAAAGCAGACAAGATGAAACAAATCCCAATTATGGACATTAGTTCATCCGCAAATCAAAGCCAGCAGCAGCAGCAACAACAAAGAGCGAAAATGACAATCAAATTGGAAATATCATAAATTGTTGCGGCTGGCAGTTGGCAACTCTGAGGCTGAGGCCATGAAAGTGAAAACTAACTATAGCAGCGGATGCCACAAATGCCGCATTGACCAACAAACAAAAATACAACAAAAGCTGCAATAACAACAATAGCCAAGGGATAAGCTAGATAGATAGATAGATAGCTGTTCATATCTATATATAAATACGTATATATTTGTTGTTGTAAGTAGCTAATGCCTATCAATTATGTTGGCCGTAAGACTATGTTAATGATAATTAATATGTATATATTGGTTGTATACATATATAGTATATATATATCTATATAAATCAGTCTGTAACTGACCTAACTATTGATTTACGTTTAAGAACTGAACTGGGATTGCCTTTGAGCCCACTTGACTCAGTTTCTTGCACATCTCTTTTTGTTTTCAAAGCGAACAGGTTTATTATCATCTGCGGCTCTAAACGTTGCCATGACTTTGTGGCTTTTACTCTCTGCTTCCTTTGCATCTTCGAAGAAACAAAGAAGAAGCTGTATATAAATATCTATATATATATATATATATATAAAAGGGAAAGTTCATTGAGGCAAGTCAGTTGCATATTTGTACAATTAATATGAAAATGCCTTAGAAAATGCCTGAATGAAAATGTTTTGAATAATTGAATAATTTAGTCTTGGGCCTTATGCAAATCTCTCACAAGTATTTTAGGGAATATTTGGAATTTTCCAAACGAAAATTGCATAATATATAAATCCGTTTATCGGCATATGTCTTCATCTTTTTTTGGCCCAGTTTTTGCAGCAACTTTCCTAAAATCTATGTCACTTCCACTTCAAATAATATTCACAACTAGAATACACAATAAATATTTGCATAGCGTTCAATGGAAATGCAAATGGACTTGTAAATCTTTTCAGTTTCTTTCATATTGTTGAGGCTTTGGCACATATTTGAGCTCTGCCGCAGACTTTTTGTAAACATTGTCTAGGGTTAACTGGAACGAGTCCATTTCGAGCTCGATTTGCTGACAGCCACAAAGCCAATTGTCCAACTGTATAAAAATACCATTTATTAATCACAATAAATAATAACACTATATTTGAATAGAAATTCAGCAAATGAATGGGGCGTAAAATATATATTTTGTAAACTATTTAAAGCAAAGCAAAGGTTTGACCTAAAATCTAATATAAAACAAAAATGTATTCAATTTATTATTTAAAGCATTTTACTTTGGCTTTTATTGAAAGGCGTTTAACCTTAAACTATATTTACTTGAACTAAATAAAATATGCAATATTTTAGCACTATTGAAAGGCAGTGAATGTGACCAAAATATAGTGATTTGAATAAACAAAAATATTGAATATATTTATTATTGAAAGTTGCTTTATCTTAAATATGTGAATTTCAATCAAAGAAAATATTCCAAATATTTTTGCATTGATTTCTTTACAGAGACTTTTATTTGGGGCATTAAATTAACATTATTATATTTTTGATTAAACTTACTCCATTATGTTGCACCACATTGGGCGGAATAAATCCTTGTGCATTCGCCGTGATCGTCCACAGGCACAAAGTGCCCCAAAGCGTCAACAAAACTCGCATGATTCACAACGATTTCCGCTCGATAACTTGAATATTTATTTTTTTTAAGGTTTTTCCAAATCTACAGTTAGGTTTTCCTTGAATTTTGATTAATCGAATATCGTTGCACTATGTTTGAGTACGAGAGAAAACATGAATTCGAATTTTCCAAATTGTCAAAAACACAAAACTGAAATCAACTTTTGCGCTGGAACGTTTTCTATTTGTGCCTTATGCAAATGCAGTTAGTTTTTATTTGGCGCTTTGGGTTTTCAACTCTTATTGCTTTACTTAGTATTCCGTAAGCATAAGCCGCGGAGTCGTCAGTCGAGTGCTAGCCGCAGACACGACTTGTCTGGTAAAAGTTCGATGCTTAACTGAAGATCATTAAGCGTTTGGTAACAATTTAAGCCAAGCCAAAGCGACGAAGATGCCAAAAAAACAAATATGCGAACGACGTGATGCGACGATGAGCGTCGCAACATGTTGCTGGCAACACGAGCAACAACAACGTCGTCGGCAGCAACGGCAACAGTTGCTGAGAGCGCGTTCGCTGCAAAGAGAAAGCATCGAAGAGCGGCTCGGCCGTTGAAAGAGAAAGTGTTGCTGGTGTGCAACATGAGGAAATGCCACGCTCTATACCGAGCTGTATTTAAATTTGGTTTTGATTTTTTGATCACCCTCTTCTTCTTCTTCTTCTGCTTTGCACAACAAATGATATTCGCTCTTCGCGTTGCAGTCTTTATCGAACCAGAAACACTTGGCCAGACAAATATGAAGCTATCTGCACCGTCTTCGATTGCAGACGCCCCAAAATCACGTAACTTCCGCACTCGGAAGCGTAGATAAGAACGCCAATTGAAGGCGTACGATTCGTAATGACCATAAATACCTTTTAATAGCCGACCAAATGAAATTGCCGACATCATCATTACCATTTACCAGACCCAAGTGTCACATAGCCCCGCACAATGGCTACGAATATGTATTTAACATTTCGTATAGATCATTAAAACTGCATTCCAAGCACACACCACGATCCAACTACAGTGATTCAGGTGATTCATTTTTTACGTATTTTTCACTCTGATCATAATTACCCA